CACAGGCCTCCTGCCCACGTGCACACATGTGCGCCACACCTGGCAACACGCAACACACACACACACACACACACACACACACACACACAGGCTGCGTCCTCCGCCTGGCTCTGGTCCCCGAGGGCGGGCACCAGGCTTTGCCATCACCGTCCCCTGGTGCACCCCCGCCGGGCAGAGGCCAGGTGCAGTGTCCCTGGCCCCCGCCCGGCCGAGAAGGGGGCGGTAATTACGCGGCCCCGGGGTGCCCCCCACACACGCGCCTTTCATCCCGAGCCACGCCCGGCCCCAACCCAGACGCTCATTACCGCCTCCCGCCCGGTCATTAGCCCGGGTCGGGGGAGGACCTGGCGGTGGGGGGGGCAGGGGGAGGCGCGGTGCCCCTCGTCGTCACCATAGCGACGCCCAGCAGCGGAGTTGGGTGGCAGGGACCACGGGTTGAGTGGGCTCGCCTTCAAGGGGTGCGGGGGGCACCCTGCATCCCCTCGGATTTGTAAGAGACAGTGGGGACCCCAGACGGGGGCGCATGCACACGCGATGGCCCCATGGGTGACTTCTTGGCCGAGGGCACTGCCCCGACACGCAGGCGTGGGCCTCGAGCGGCCCGGCGACGTGCAGGCAAGCCACCTGCGGGCTGGGCACGGCGATGCCAAGCCCGCACTGTCCCGGTCTCCGTCCGCGACGGCGACGTCTAGTGGCCGCAGGGTGGCCGAGTAGCTGGCGGCTCCGCAGAGAGGCGGGACGTCGGTCCCCAAGGCTCCAGCCGAGGCTGCAGCGCCCTCTCGTGTCCTCAGCAGGCAGTGAGCCCCGTTTGGAGGCAGGGGCTCGGGGCAGGGGTGGAGAGTGTGTGAGTGTGAGTGTGTGTGTGTGTGTGTGTGTGTGTGTGTGTGCGTGTGCGCGAGCTCCAGCCCCTTTTAAAGCCCACCGAAAGAAACAAAGGGCCAGGGTGGCACGCTGAGCTACCCGGCCACGTGGACACAGGTAAGTGCACAGGGACGCACATCTCAGACACAAGTACACGAAGACGCGAGAGATGCCCACTGGAGAGGTGTGCGTGGGTCACACGTGTGCACGCTCTTCTGGGGATCCGCGATGGCTGTGGGTACTGGTGGAGCCCGGGCCCAAAAGAGCTGGTTGGTAGTAAGCTTATTAAGTGGGTGCTGGTTGAATGAATGAATGAATCGATGAATCAATGAATGAATACGGCAACTCCCAAAACCAGGAACTGGAAGGTCTCAGAACGGGAAGGAGAGCAGGGGCCCAGCACCACCGTGGGAGCTGGGATTGCAGGGGTCCAGTTTCCAGGTTCCCGTTGGAGGTGGGGGGCACCCGCGGGGACCACCCTCCCCTGGGCGGCGGGCCTGCGGGCCAGCATTGCCGCGATCTGCGATGCATGGTCCCCTCCCCGCCTGGAGGACGCGCGTGGAGGGGAGGGGAGGAGGGGAGGGAGGCGTGTTGGTTTCTCGGCTCTTTTTAATAACCTCCTTGCGTGAGTGGCTGACGCAGCAGGCTGCTCTGACGGGGATGGGAGGGAGGGCTGAGTGCCGGGAGAGAGAGAGGTGCGGAGGGGGTGGCCGTGAGTCACCAGCCGCCGTCTAGGAGGAGGGGAGCACCGAGTCCCCGAGGCATGCTCTTCCTGGAGACAGATGGGTCAGCTCGACCCGGACCAACCTCATTCAAGGGTCAGAGCGCCTGGGGCGTGGAGCAGGTTGGGATGTCTCAGCCTCTGTCCGCACTCCCTGGGGGGTGGGGGGGTCCTGCTCTGGCTGACGTGGTAAGAGGTGACCTGCCTGAGTTAGGGGAGGGATCCTCGCAAAGGGCCAGTCAGGTCGCTCGGGACTCGGGACCCTCAAACCAGAGTAAAAGGAGACCACATGCTCTGGCCTGGTGTGACCCCAGCTGCTTGGGAGGCCGGGCTACAGAGTTCAAGGACAGGCCGGGGAAGTTAGGGTGGATCAGCGGTCAAGAGCACTGGCTGCTCTTGCAGAGGACCTGGGTTCAATTCCCAGCACCCACATAGAGGCTCACAACTGTCTGTGACTCCGGTTCCAGAGAACCCCAACACAAGGACGCAAGGCAGGCACATGGTTGCACTCAGGAAAACACCCATACACATAAAAATGTGGTTTTGGTTTGTTTTTCATATGTGTAATGGGGGCGGGGGTCAGGACAGGGTTTCTCTGTGTAGTTTTGGTGTCTGTCCTGGAGCTCACTCTGTAGACCAGGCTGGCCTCGAACTCACAGAGATCCGCCTGGCTCTGTCTCCCCAGTGCTTACCATATGTGTATTTTTACACATATGGCTCATGGGATAAGAGCACTGGCTGCTGTTCCAGAGGTCCTGAGTTCAATTCCCAGCACCCACATGGTGGCTCACAACCACCTGTAATGAGATCTGGTGCCCTCTTCTGGCCTGCAGGCAGAACACTGCATATATAATTTAAAAAAAAAAAAAAGAATGCTAAGGATATAGGCCTGAGTAGTCTCTGCCTTTAATCCCACAGTGGGGGCTGGGGGCGTGGTCAGGGTTGAGCCCCGCCCAGAATCCCCAGTGAGCGGCTGGGGGCGTGGTCAGGATGGAGCCCCGCCCAGAATCCCCAATGAGGGGCTGGGGGCGTGGTCAGGGTGGAGCCCCGCCCAGAATCCCACAGTGAGGGGCTGGGGGCGTGGTCAGGGTGGGGCCCCGCCTAGAATCCCCGGTGAGGGGCTGGGGGCGTGGTCAGGGTGGAGCCCCGCCTAGAATCCCCGGTGAGGGGCTGGGGGCGTGGTCGGGGTGGAGCCCCGCCCATGTGGTGTGGCGTGCTCCTGGCTGGGGTGGGCAGGAACCAGGGTTCAGATGGCCGTTACGCAGCAGGCTGAGATTTGCAGGCAGACAGCAGGGTGCAGGTGAGGTGTGGCTGCAAGTCTGGAGGAGGAGGGGTGATCTTAGGGAACGTCAGGAGCCCTGGGTCCGGGGCATGGCCGGCCGGCCGAGGCACGTGGGGCTGGGGAATTCAGATGGATTCGGGCAGGGTCGGAGAAGAGGCTCAGTGGGTAAAGGCGCTTGCCGCCGAATCCTGAGTTCGAGGCTCAGGATGGAAGGGGAGACTCCAGAAACCTGTCCTCTGGCGCCCACACTCGCGCTGTGGCCGGATAAATGTAATAAAGTATTTTTAAAAGAAGACTGGGGAAGTGACGTCGGCACGTCAAGGCTCGGGCCTATTTGGGAGTCCCACTGGGGCAGCAAACGCTCCTTAAAGCCGGGCCTTGGAGCTCTTTGTTCCGCGCCGCAGGCCCCCCGGGCGGGGAACACGGAAGTGGGTCAGCCCCGCCCCGAACCCGGCTGTCCCCGCCCCCCGGCCGCCGGCGGGAGGGCGGGCGAATGCGGCCTGGGCACCCCGCAGCCAATCCAAACGCTCAGCGCCTCCGCGCGGGCAG